GTCGTCCCTGAGGAAACAACCAAGACTGTCGTCCCTGAGGAAACAACCAAGACTGTCGTCCCTGAGGAAACAACCAAGACTGTCGTCCCTGAGGAAACAACCAAGACTGTCATCCCTCAGGAAAAGATCTTACCAAGAGAGAACAGTACCCTAGTGGTTCTCCCACCAGCCAACGAAGCTCCAGGTGTAGCAGAGGAAACTACACCAGGAACATCAACAGTGGGACCTACCGAGGAGGCAACCACCCGGTCCACAACACGATCTCCTAAGTATGTAGTTGAAACCAACAATGGAAACTTTCCGGATGTACCAGTCCGGCCCTACGTAGAACAAGACATCTTTTTGGGGAACAGTGACTTTGTGGTGGAGGAAGAGGAGGATAACTCGGTAAGCAGATGTAGAATATTTCACAGTGATTGGTTAAAGTGTTGACTCCATCATCAAATGAGCATCTGGGCATGTTTTGTGTTTTCAGATTGGTAATGAGATAGACGACACGCTGCTGCGACCCCTGCGGCCCCTGAAGGAGTTTGTGGTGGAGCAGCGGATCAAACTGAAGGGAGAAACCTACAGCAACGCTCTGAGAGACCCCAGCAGCTTCCAGTACCAGCAGCTGGCCAACCAGTTCAAACGCAAGGTCAGCACCTGTCCAATCTATACCAGACTTGTGCTTAATGCTGTAAGGGTCAAAGGTCAATGAATCCACTGCGAGCAAGCTTACGCAGGTCTTTTTTGAAAGCTGTTCCTGAGCAGCGGTACCATCTTTCCCCCCTCTGCTATGTTTTCTCCTCATGGTTTCATCAGCACTGACTGAAAATGATCCTGTGTTGTTACCATCTTCTTGTTTTGAGTGTTTCTCCCTCAGTGACGTCCACAACACTCACTCAGAACCAAACTGACTTGCTTGTGGTTTCTTCCAAACTGCAGACTCAGGACTTTGGCTCCGGTTTAAAGGCCTTGCCTGACTTTCACGCTTTAAGTATCTTTATGCATTACAGCTCAGCTTGCTGCGGCTGCCAGAGAGCAGCTATACGAGCCGCGCAGGCTGCGGAGAACATACAGTATACGAGCAGTGACTCACCTCGAGCCGGTGGAAAATGCAGCTCTGCCAGGAAAGCAGAGCGAAGCGCCGGTGTGTTCCCGCTCCACTGGGAGGTTTATGGGCCTCGCTCCATGTCAGTGACGCGGGAAAGCAGTTTATGGTTTGAATGTCATGGTCAGGATCTTTAATGAGGGAATATGAAGTGGATAACTGCACTAATAGAATCAGCAGAAGAAGAAGAGGGCAGCCACAGGCCACTGAACTCTGAATAAAAGGTCCGAGCTGCAGATTTCACTCATTAAAGACTAAAGTGTTGGTCTTTACTGTGCCTATTAGGAAGACCTTTAGCTTTCCTTCCTCCACTGAGACTCTTCTGTTGTTGCTCTTTAAATAATCCCAAACGGTCCAGATGTGGTGAGACAAACATCCTGCTAGGGAATGAAAAAAACAGCCTTCATTTCCTGAACATGTTTCACCTTTCATCCTCTAAGGTTTCTTCAGTTTGTGTTTGGATTATGACCTTTGAACTATGACATACTAATGATTCATTCACAAAACTTTAAAACCAGAGTAGACCAGGAAGTGATGAACATACTGACCTTTATGAGATCACCTGTGGAGTAACTGGCTGGTTCTCTGGTTGTTCTGGGCCGAGCAGTTCCAGGTTTTAACCTCTGTCTCCTCTGACAGGTTGAAGACGCCTTCGACAGGCTGCCAGGCTTCAGGAGCCTTGACATAATTGAATTCAGGTACAGTTTAATTGACTTAGATTACAGCTGACCTTAGGAACCGTCATTTATAAGTAGTAAACTTTGGATTTAAAAGCAAGCTGGACAAAAAGTTAAGTTTCTCTGTCACGTTTAATGATTTTTTCACATTTTTCCTGGTTTCTGTCGGCTCATTTGTGGTTCGGTTTGTGTTTTCAGGCCTCAGAAGGACCTGCAGCGGTAAGTTTGTCCTCATTCTGTCTGGGCCTCCCAAACATTGCTTCATTATTGCTCTGTACAGCTGGGCTCATCCATAACCTGTAACCCTGCTGCCTCTGAAGTCGTCACTCTTCTCTCCTCAACTTCTGCTGCTCTGGGACTTGTGTTTTCACTTCTGCTGAAGGATTAGTTGGCGTCTACCCTGACGTCTTGTCAGGCTTTATGGGTGACTTAACCCCTGGCCCCTTTCTGGCAGGAACACTGATTAATGCCCCTCCAGCTGGCTGTGGAGGTGAAAACCTGCTGCAGAGGAGCTTCAGGCTGACGGGAAGCTAAAATCTAGGAAAGCCTCAAAAAGCTAAGATAATGTAAGACTTAAAAAGTCTGATCCTCTGGAGTTCACAGCAAATTGATCATAAATGGGCATCAGACTCGTGGCTGAAGGCAGGCTGGTCCTCTGGACCAGATCTTTACTCACCTGTTGCTCTGAACAACAGGTCTGCCGCTCCGCTTTCTGCTTAATGTCCTTATCGATAGTCAATCAGGTTTTAAGTGGGATAAGACGCTCGGCGGCCACCTGCAGCCGTTACAGGATTACCTTAAAGCTTTATGACCAACTCTACTCTCACCGCTCCGTCAGACCAGCCCAGTCTCCACTGACCATCCAGCAGGTCACCAGGTTCAGGCGTGAACAACGTCTGATCAGCATGAACTAACAAACAAGATGAATGTAAATGTAATAATCTTCCACCATGGTGAAGCTAATCAGATAACAACCAGATCCAGTCAAGACTAATTTACTGTCTAAAATCGTTTCTTCTTCAGATGTTTTAGATGATTGGATGGTGTTTGTACCTGAGTGCTGACTGAGCCGTTCTGTGTTCTGGTCCCATCAGGGGTCTGGTGGTGCAGGTCCACTACGCCATCACTCTGGATCTGGAGGTGGACAGCGGTGGCATCTCCAGCGACACTCTGGACTTCATCACTCTGCAGAACAACCAGGTGGAGCGGAGCTACATTGGATCCGCTGAACAGCCCACCATCATCTACACTATCACTGATTTCCGTAACTACATCACTGAAGCTCTGCACAAAGACAACGTCCTGACCAACGGCAGCCTGGAAAATGGTACCTTTTGCTTGTTTGGTCTTTAGAAACTAGTGATCAGGCCCAAAATCTGACAAAATCTAAAGTTTATTGCTTGTTTCATAATTGATGACTTATGTTTTCATGGTGTAAAGCAATTTGAACTGTCTTGTTGATGAAATGTGCTCTAAAATCAAACTTAGCGTAACTTTAGAGAACATATTGAAGAAATATTGACTCCCTTACATAAACGTTTTTGTATTTGAAGCAGGGAACGTTCCTCCTGTGAGACCTACAAGTAAACCGGATGAAGCTTACAACAACATGGTGAGCTGAACAAATTCTGTTTTCTAAATGAAACTTTGACAGATTTAAACGAGTAGAGCCTGACCGACGGCTCCTTGTTTTCAGGATAACATACTGGCTGCAGAGAAACCTCCCGATGCGCCGATCCATGAGCCAGACACCAGCGAGGTTTTCCTGAAGAAGGAGGACTTCCTGTTTGACACCAGGGACCAGTGGAAAGGTCCACACAGTGAGGAAGCCAGTGAAAACGACGTCTTCTTATTCGATGAAAGTACAACATCTCCACAGACTGTTAAAGGCCAAAAGACAGTTGATCTGGAGCCGATAACTAAAGATGGTAAGAATCATCTCCGTCTGTAAAACCTCTGTTGTTTTCCTCAATCAAATCAGTCAGTTGATGGATTCATTTGCTTCACAGATGGTGGAAACATTGAAGGTGAGGGATTCCTGCTCACTACGCCTCCCAGCGCTGTGGATGACCACCAGGTGGAAAACCAAACGGTGGTTCCTGAAGGTTCTCCTGCAGTCACTGTACCTCCAAAACCCTCTGAGGTCACGTCTGATCATGGATCTGGATCCGGTTTCTCTGGAGATTATCAGGATTCTTATCTGTGGTCTTGGGAGGCTTCAGAAACATCTGACGTCACTTATGACCGGGGGGTCGATAGCCATGAAGTCCTACCACCACCTGACCTGGAGATGGATACAGATGATGCTGCTGTGGAACCAGCAACTTCTAAAACCGATGATGTTTTACTGGAGACAACCTCCATGTTTGATTACTCTCACACACAGAAACCTCTGGATGATGTCCTGGTGATGCCTCTGAGTACAGACCCACCAGACTTTACCACTCCTCAAGTTCTTCTACCTTCGACTGAGGCAGCCATGACGGTGGACCTTTCTGTTCAAATGGTGGAAGCATCTGGTTTCCATGACGACTTTTATCTGGTTGAGCCTCAGTCCCTAACAGTTACATCCTCTCCTGAACCTAAAACCTGGACTCCAGCTGATTCTGGCATCAGGCATCAAGAGGCCACTGAAAACCTGGAGGAAGAGATTTTAGGGGTCACTGTCTCAGATATCCTAATGATGAAAGGTGAAGAGGTTATTGTTCTTGATTTACCAGAAACTCAGACTGAAGCTCCTCTCACTCTGGACCTGCCTACATTTGTTGAAGTGCAGGCGGTCACAGTCGGTGAACTCAGCGGTGAAACAGCTGCTGGTCCAGAACAGCCTCAGGTCCTGGCTGACAAATCTGAGCCGCCGCTCCCAGAAACAAGAGCACCCAGTGAGATTGAGATTTTGGAGGAGCAGCATTTAGGAACCACTCAGTCCCCCACGACAGTACCTTCCACTGAAGGTCTGGACCAGGACCTGGCTGTGGATGAAGTCATTGCTGTCACTACAACCACAGCAGCTCCAGTCCCAACTTCACCCCCAGCCCTGGAGCAGAGCGTTGCACTGTCCCCTGAAAAGGAGTCGCCTTTCACTCGAGTATCTGACTCGGTGCCAGAAGATGAGGATCTCTTTCACCACGAAGAGGTCACTGATGTTTCCACAAGCTCCACTTCTTCAGACGTTTTTCAGTCGACACCAGGAGAAAAGACTCCAACTGATTCTGGACGGGGATCACTGGATGCTTCAGAGCAGCACATGGAGACAACTGAACCTTCAGGAGAGGAAGCAGGACCTCCTACAACGATAAATGAACCTTCTGAGGGAATTGTAAAACCTTTGGATGAGGAAGAAGCATCTTTTAAACCTGAAGAACCTCCAAAAGACAAAGCAGACCCTCTGGAGGATGCCAGAGTCAAACCACATGTAGAATCCTCAGAAACTGAAACTGTGACAGTGAAGAGTGAAGCTTCTGGTGGAGAAAAGCAAACTCCTCTGGAGGACTTAGAGTCGACATCACTGGGAGAACAACCTGGAGAAGACCCTGACTCTCCAAAAGGAGAAGGTGTGGAAGTGCAACCATCAGGACAAGAACTGGAAACCTCTAGACCTGAAGGAGAACCTTTAGGAGGCAAATTAGAACCTGCTGGAGAACAAAAAGAACATTTTGGGGGAGAAGTAGAAGCTTTAGGGGAACCTGAACTTGCAGAAATAAAAGTAGAACCTTCTGGAGAAGGAGAAGTAACTCCAGAGGTGAAAATTCAACCTTCTGGAAAAGGAACTGAGCCTCCAGTTGTGCCTGTAGAGCCTGCTGAAGGACATTCTGAAGAGGTGCAAAGGTCACCTTCTGCAGGAGGACAAGTAAAACCTTTAGAAGAGCAAGGAGAACATTTTGGAAAGGAAGTGGCTCCTTCACATGGGAAAGTGGAACCAGAACCTTCCAGAGAAGTAGTCAGCGGTCTCCTTCCAACACCGTCTTCCTCAAAGCCCAACGTTAACGACAGTTCTTCTGTCATCAACCTGGACTATGACTTCTCTGACATGCCGAGTATCGATGTGAGCATCGACCTGTTCCAGTACGGCTCTGGGGAAGCCGATGGGGAAAGCAGTGGCTTCTCCAGTGAAGCTCGGGGTTCAGACCTAGAAGCTTTTCCTTTACCAGGCCGGCCGGGCAGAGCTCTGACAGTGTTCTTCAGCCTGAGGGTCACCAACATGGCGTTCTCCAGGAACCTCTTCAACAAAAGCTCCTCAGAGTACAAATCTCTAGAACAGCAATTCATACAGCTGGTGAGAATCTCAAAGAACCAGATACCATTAAATAGGTTCCTGTTCCGGACACTCTGGTGACCTTTCTGTCTTTCCTTTACAGCTGGTCCCGTACCTTCAGTCCAACCTGAACAACTTCCAGAACCTGGAGATCCTGAACTTCAGAAACGGCAGCATTGTTGTAAACAGCAGAATGCGTTTTGGCAAACCGGTTCCCAAAGAGGTCACCAACATCATCTACCTGATTCTGGAGGACTTTGCCAACACGGCGTACCACACCATGAACCTGGCCATTGACAAGTACTCACTGGACGTTGAATCAGGTGAGACTCAACCCAACCAAACCTGGAGGAGGAAATATGTTCGAGTCCATGGGAAGAACAGGGGTTTGGTTTCCCTTAAATCTAAATTCATTATAAATGAGGAGCAGTGAGCCTAGTGGAGCAGAAAACCATCGAGTCTTCTTACGCCTGGTTGGTTTTCAGCTTGTTTGTGCAGCGCTGCAGCATCTCGGTTGCCCTTTCACCTCTTAGGATCTGATCTAATACCTCAGATAATCCGTCTGGGAGGAACGTGACCAGTGGCACCGACTGCAGTATCAACATCATGTTTGTTTGTCTCCATCTGGCTGAACACTAGGTGTTTTCCTCCTCCATAAGTCTTTAAAAGGTAATGACTGGGTGGTGGCAGTTGTTTACCGGTTTTAATCCGTATAATGTCCTTTTATCGTAAACATGTTGGAACAAACATTTATTTCACTACAAAGATGACTTCTCCAAACCAGAGGGTTTATTGGATGCTTTTGAAATTTGACATTTCTTGTTGTATCAGAACCAGAAAACTCTACAAACTGTAGAAACCAGTCTAGTCTGAAAGGTCACTGGATGGATCTTTGAACAAATTAACTCCTAAGATCTGAGTTTAGGAGATCTTAGGCAACCCGTTAATGGTTTTCATGTGGGTAATGAGACCCCTGCTGGGTTTGTGTCAGAGTTTACCAAAGAGTAAATAACTCATTGTTTCTGCATTGCGACTGCACTTTAATCTGTCTGAGCCATTGTTAGGAGCTCTTCACTGACTAATCAAGCTAAGCCACAACAGTGACTCACTGTAAACTCTGGATAATCAGTTTACTCCTCTCATCTTCACTGCAGACACGTTTTCCATTGCACAAGCACAAGCTAAACCTGCCAGGTCACTTAGAGGCTGCAGGGCTTGCCGGGGTCACCGAACAAACTTTATGATCGCTTCAGCATCATTAGAAAGAGGGAATGCATGTTGACGTTGCCTTGGAAACATCAACTTTGACTTGAAGAGTCAATCATTGTAGAAAGGAAAGAAATTATCCTATCTAAGCATCTGGAGTGACTTTGTGATGAACCATCTGAGAGAGCGACTCGTTCTCAGGTGGAGTTTCTGTTTTGATGTGATCCATCGGCTCTGAGGTAATTTCCTCTCTGCCCAGCAGGTGACCGGGCGGATCCCTGCAAGTTCCAGGCCTGTAATGAGTTTTCCAAGTGCATGGTGAACCAGTGGTCAGGAGAGGCAGAGTGTGTGTGTGATCCTGGATATTTGAGCATCGACGGCCTGCCGTGTCAGAGCGTCTGTGACGCTCAGCACAACTTCTGCCTCAACGATGGCAAATGTGACATCATCCCTGGCAAGGGCGCCATCTGCAGGTAGGGGGAAATAAACTGGTGGGGTGTGTTTAGTGTACTGTAAAAAATGAATTAGCCCTCATTATGCTCCTGTTCGCCAACGTCAGCCAGAGTTTTTGTTACATTTTCAACATTTAATTGAATTCTGAATTATATTCTTTACAATTTAAAGACAATCATCTGTCTTCTTCTGCTTAATATTTTCTGCACATGATAATTACTATAATTGTAATTTAAGTGAAATAGGATGAAACTGAATTTAGCATCTCTACCAACTGTTAAATAAAACATCACATCATCTGCATATTAGTGAATATTTGCATTAAACAGTGTAAGCAGAGCTTTGTGAGGGGATTCTGCAGATTTGGCTCAGGTTGACCCAGTTGGTTCTGCAGGTGTCGTGTTGGGGAGAACTGGTGGTACCGCGGTGAGCACTGTGAGGAGTATGTCTCTGAGCCGCTGGTGGTCGGCATCGCCATCGCCTCGGTGGTCGGCTTCCTGTTGGTGGCTGGAGGAATCATCTTCTTCCTGGCCAGAACCCTCAGAGAGCAGTATGACGGTGAAGACACGGAGGATCCACTCAGGTTGGCCGAATCTTTGCGTTTCAGGAGCGAACTTAGTTTAATGTGAAACTAAAACATTTTATCTTGTGACGTTTTAGGCGCCATGAAAGCCTTCCAACTTTGGAGCGAGCCACGAAGTTCAACCCGATGTTTGAGAGCGACCCGGTCTCTGCTCAGTACTACCGGCGCTACGATGACAGCCTGCCCCAGTACCACCAGTGCTGCGATTCCTCCCTGAACCAGTGCTGCTCCAAAGAACTGACCAGTGAAGAAATACAGAGCATCTGCCAGAACACGGCTCTCTCCAAAGAGGTGAGGTCGTTGTGTTTCTGGATCTCTGTGGCGTTAGCATCTCGTTGTCCTTGAAGCTAGTTGTGTTAGCGGCTCAGAGCTCCTGATTACCAGGCGACTTTCTCCTCTGAGCTCTGACTTCAGTCCGGTGATCTGACACCATGTTGTGACGTTTCTTTGGCTCAGACGTTTTCAGCTCAGCAGGATGTTTGTACTACATAGACGAGTATTTTTACTTCTCCTCCTACTGGGCTCTTACATAAACTTGATCTCCGTGCGCTGACCTCTGACCTCTCCGCAGGAGATCCAGGAGCGTCTCAGAATAATCGAGTTGTGCTCCAGAGATCAGCGCTTTGCAGACTTTGTCCGGCAAACGCAAGTGTGAGTGCTCTTACTTTTTTCTTTATCCGTTTATTTAATGCTGACCTGAAACTACTCCTCAGATATTTACCATGTTGGTTTGAATATTTAAGCTGCTAGATCCTCGGATACTTAGAATTTCCTGTGTGAAATCAAAACAGTAGAAATCTGAAGACCAAACAAGCTGCACTTCTGTTTCTTTAAAGGCTGAAAAACAGCAGGAGGGTCTAGAGAGGCTCATCAGCCTCAAAGATCTAAACAGAAAAGTTGTTGTTTGCTTCTCAGCTCAGTTCACGTTCAGCCTGAACACAAACTAACCTGTTCTTCCTGCCACAGATTCCTGGAGAGGAGAGGAAGCTCCACAACGTAGCGTCCAGGCAGCCACAGACCTCCAGGTACAACCAGACCTGCTGCTGCTCAAACCAGGCTTCATTCATTATGCACTGCACTACCCAGAAGCCTCAGCAGACTCTACCAACATCAGCTATGCTCAGCTTTAAACTCTTAGAGATCATCAGTGAGCTGTTGTAGTCATTTGATGCGCTAGTAGCAGAGCTAACTTTTAGCTTAGCGCTTTAAAAATATCTTAGCTTCCCCTAAATTAATTTATCTTTTGCGAAGTTTCAGTTGAAAAAACTTCACGTGTTGAAATTATACTTATCAACTGTTAATTATTATTATAGACGTTTATATTCATGCTCTTATTTTGAAATCTGTTTACGCAGCAGTTTTGTCATGTTCTTCTTTTTCCCCCAGTATCTTTATTTCAAACAGGCACAAAATAAATGGACAGTGGATCATATTTAAACATAAATATAACATCTACAGGCAGAATATGTTGATTATAATGTCACAGCTAAATTGGTGCTGAACGGTTGTAATCTTTCCAGGGCAGATTGTTGTTAGCACTTTAGCATTAGCTTCTGCTAAATACTGCTACATTGTGTAATACTTTAGCATTATATTTATAGTTTGGCTTTAGGGTTAGCATTGCTAACTTTTCAGGCAATTTATTATTTTTTATTAAAATAAAGTGTTGTGTGCCACATAAAACCACACTCTGGTACAAGATGTGAGAAAAAGTGTTTCTGTACCAGAATTGGTTCACTGGTGTTTGGATAAAGCCATCAGACTGCTGACCAGCCCAGCCATGTTTTCACTCAACACACCTGTAAAAACAGATGAATTAAGATGATCGTCTCGTATAACAGAAGATGAGATGTAGCGTATTTGGGGGCTCATCCGGGATCTTTTTGCCATCTGCAAACACTGAGCTTGAGTTTTTTTCTTGTAGAAGTGAAAATGAGTAAAACATTTACAGGCTTGAGAACCACTGTTCAGAAGTGAACATTGAGTTTTTAACCCATCTGTTTCTCCACAGAAACCAGCACTACGTCTGTAACTGGAGGAGGAAGACCAGTCTATCATAATGCTGCTGTTCGTTGAGCTGGAGGTGACCAGATGCTGACAGATGTTGGAGTTTATTTTTTCGCCCTGAAGTGAACTTGATTTTTGATTCCGTTCTGTGTTTTTGTATCCTGACGTCTTGTTTTGAAGGAACACTTTGATTTCTGATCTTTGATCGCTGGACATTACCTCTGTCTTACACATTCTGCCAGATTTCGTCACCAGCTTGGATCGAAGGGTTTCTGGTTGCATCCTGACCTCCTGGTCGCCACCCAGGCTTGTCTGAGGTGTAATCCCAGACGCCGGTGACCGGCAGCGTTTCTCCCTCTGGTGCCTTCACTGTTCTGTTAGCTCTTCTGGGATGTGATGCAAACAGAGCCCTTGATCAAAGCAATTTTGACATAAATCCACAACACCAAACATCATCAACCTCCTGCTTTTTCTACTGCTTTCTCATCACTGATGTTTACATTTCTGTACTAGAGGTAGAGCTTAATTCTGACTCCATGAAATGATGAATATGTCTAGTTTGTGTTTTCTAAGACTTTGGCTGCTTCTCATTAGAGCGAGGCGGATCCAACCTTTCCCTTCAGTTTCATTAATGTGTTTATTTTGTGGATCTGAAACATCTGGATCTTGTAGAACAAATGATTTGGACAAAAGACAACTTTTAGTTCTTCAGCGATACTCTGGTACCTGATTACCGAGCAAACAAAGCACCAACACAACAACATGGGTCCAATCGAGCTGAGGTTGCTCTAATGTCAGCCTCCTGCAAAAGGTACTAACCAGTTGATGTAATCGCTAAATGTTCAAGTTATTTACCGAGTTATTCTCTGACGAAATGTTGTGACCCTGCAACAAAATCATTTGTTGTTTCAGTGAGACTCTATGAAACAACTTTCTGCTTTCAACCTCATCTGTCATGATCTGGTTCTGTTACGGTATTTTCTTGATCCAGTTCTGAAGATCAGCTGGCTTTATTTCTTTGTTTCTGTACCCCAACTACCAGCCGCATTGTTTCACATTTATTCATGTTTTCTGCTCTCTGAAGTTCCCACTATGCTGTTTTTATGATAAACTATTTTCTAATCTTGAGAAAAGCTTCTACTTCATCCCCAGAACGTTGTGTCTAATTACTGAAAATACAGACCTGAACGTTGAAGCAGCATAACAGCTAGCTTAGTGCTAACAGAGACCAGGAACAAGTTTTATCTTAATTTCCTTCCTAAATGTTTATCATGATGTTTTAAAAAGCCGTCTCTTTAACTTCCTCCGGCTCCTCAGACGGTTTAACGTTTGAATGTTGACGCTCTTGGCCCTCGTGTCTGTCGCTGTGGTTTGTATCGTGTGTTTTTATGCCGGTTTGTCTGATTTTTAGTCTAAAGCTGTAATGTAAGCGTGGGAGGTGGCGCACTTTTTAAAATAAAATGCTGACATTTTTTTTACACACCCGTCGTCAGACGTTACATGTTTGTTAGAAGAGGAAAAACTCTAAAGACTTCGCAAACACTGCTGTCGGTGTTGACATGTTGGTCATCGCCATGACAACCTGATGACATCACAGGTAAACGATAAACAACAAGAATGTTAATCTGACTGGTTAATCCTCTCAAATATGTTTCAACTGTATGAAAAGTGTCATAGAAACACATTTAATATTCATAATTTCTCTAAGTTTTCCATATTTATCAACTTTAATGTTGGCATTTTACGTTCCTGAAGCAGAGGTGTCCAAGGTGTGGCTGGGGGGCCAATTTCAACCCTTTCAATAACTTTGTGTGGCCCCCATCATTCGTATGCCTGATGCAGATGAATATATGTTTTATCATTTTTAAGAGGGATGTTATATATTCTTAAATGAAGAGTGTTTGGTCCTGGAAGTGTTTTATTTTATTAGCCATGTTTTGGATTTGTTTCCATTTTAATATCCTAACAGCTACTCTCACAAACATCCAGTCCCTGTTTACTGAAAAACAAACCTGGATGAATTCGCCAGGTTTTTTTTTAAACAAAGTTATTTTATTTGTTGCAGAGAATCGATTAAAACGTTGTCCAAACAAACAAAGTAGAAAACATTTGACCCAGAAAGTTTGGAAACTGAACGCTTTGCTTTTATTACTGAGACCTGAAATAATTTGTTCTTTTCCACTTTGTGTCAGTAAATTAATGCAGATTGAGTTTATTGTTTGGCAGGTACAAAAGAAGGCAATCACAATAAAATTATTGTGATTATTTGTTATGAGGGGTGGGAAAAACTCCCCTGGGTGCTTTTAACTGGTTCAGCTGGTTGGATGGTTAGAGACCGTCTCTGCTCCTCGGTGGTCTCCAGGGATCGTTGGCCGTCGCTCATCGGTTGCCGTGGTTACAGCAGTGCGGATGACAGCTGGTAAATCCCGTCCTTCATCACCTGAGAGACAAAAGTCAAACAGAGTGGGACAGAGTGAAGACAGACGGTCTCCTGGAGGAGGACGTGTTGACGCTCAGTCATGGCTGCTGACAGCAGGAATGTTGAGACCCAAAGTCAGCAGCCGGAGGTTCGGTTCTGATTATTCATCCAGCATAACGGAACGGGTCGGACCCGTATCCAGACTGGAACCAGTGATGTGAATCTAACTGATTTCTTGCTGCAGTTTTTTCTGCATGGCTGTTCAATAAACTAATTAAATGCTCCTGAAGAGAAGAAGAACGAAGACAGCAGTAATAATGGCCGCCGACATCTGTGTCGATTTTAACATTTTTAACGTTTTTCAGATCAGACAGCAAAAGATGTCTGATCTTTTGCTGTCTGATCAGAAAATAAGAAGAAAAGCTTCTTATTTTCATCCAGATTTACGGTGTCTGCTTTCTTCTGGTGCAGAATTATGACGCATGTCTCAGATCAGTGATGTAAAAGTCGGATAAAATGCGGCACGACTGTTTTCAGACTGCAGAGACTTCTTAGCTCCACATTGAGGTGGAACAAATCTGATCTTCTTTTGGGTAAAAGATTGAGATTTATGGCCAGTTCTGACCATTTTAAACCAGTTTGCTACCAGTTTTAAGCAGTTTAGGCTGATGTAAAAAGTCATATTTGCATGTGTGAAATTAGCTTTTGTTCCACACCTAAATGGGTTGTAACGATGTGCTTTTAGAGTCTTTAGGTGCTAAGATGGTTTAAGTATTTAATTTAACTCAACCTGAAAGTTAAGTAGAAAAGGTTTTCCTGACTGGGAATCTGGTGTGTTTGCTTCAGGATCCCTGACGGGCCCCCAAAAAGATTCAGCTCCTGTATTTTCTGAGCCACCATTTTTTCTCTTTCTGCTGAGAAGCAGAAGTATTTTGGAGTCCAGATCCCAAAGTTTTACAGAACGTGATGATGTAAAGGAAATAGAAGTGGCTTTTATTTTGAAAGAACTAACCCAGAACCCTTTATTTGATTAGGTTTTGCAGTAATTTATTCTTTATTTTCTTATTTTTTGTGTGTGAAGCACAATCCAAGTTAAGGATGTGAACAGTTTTACTCCTGTTGCATCATTCTACCCCCTTCACTCATTTCATTCTTCTAAATATTCATAATTTAACTCTGAAGCCGGTGTTGAAGGTTCCCCTCGTTCTCCCAGCTTAGATTTCAGACTGAATTTGAACTCTTCAGGAACGACCACCTTGGAGGCTTTTATTTTGGAAACAGAGGAGACAGAGCGGCGCAAGCAGACAAAATAAAAGAGGAATATGTTGACATTGTTGCATGTGAGACCTTGGTGACCCTGAGACTGAACGGGCCTGGGATCTGGTCCAGGATCCGTCCTGGTTCTGTTTCATAACTGCTTGATCAGAACCAGCCGGGATCAATCAGTCGTTTTAGTGAATCAGGAAGAAACGCGACGCAGGCCTGAATGTTTCAGCATCAGGAACAGAAACTTTCCGGTCCAAACAACCTGACCTTCGTCTTCCTCTTTTATTTCTAACCACAGACTCTTCCTCATTTCACCAAACTCAGTTCATTAGTTCAGTTTTTTCCTCCTGTCATCATTTTTATCCACCTCAGTCCAACAACCCATGATGCATTGCGGCGGATGGGGCGTGGCATCTTGTCATTAAACAGAAACTACATTCCTAAACGTTTCAGCCACATTTATTTCAGGAAAATATGTCTGAAAATCAGAGTTTCCAGGTCAGAGGGAAGAACATAGTCATAGATCCAGGGCCGGCCGAAGCCTTTCTGGGGCCCTGAGCAGGTTTTCATTTGGGGCCCCCGATACCAACATATCAGCACCAGATTCTTCTTTATTTCTAGACATAAAAATAAAACAACTGTTGTGGGGATCCTAGAAAGCTGCTTATGCCTTGGGCTGGCTCTGACTAAATCATTTAAGAATAGAAATGCTGAACAATATTCAAACCTTACAGTTAAAATCTCCTAAAATATAAACACAAGTCTTTAGCATCCCGGAGGAAGATGAAAGCATCCCTCTCCATCTCCATAGAAACACTTAAAGCTCTTCCTTTAACTCCATATTTGTTGGATCTGATCACCAGAGCTCAGTGTCACTGCAGCAGGGAGGTCATGCTGGGGTCACATGAGTTTTCATCATGATACCACCTGGACCTGAGCTGATGCTAACCAGGTCGTTGGTTCTGTCTGGACGTTTGCTGCTCCAGAACCAGGCTCTGATTTCTGGTGAGGATCAAAAATCATAATTCCTTTCTGTCGGAGCGCTGCGGTTCTTAACCTGGATGCCCGCCTGACCCTCTGACCCTGACGGCCTTAAAGGAGCAGGCAGACATTTCAGCAGCTCTGCGTTAGCATCCTAGAGGAACAGGAGGAGGAGGAGGATGAAGGCCAACCTGAACTTGGGCTCAGTCAGGTGTTTCTGCGTGGAAAAGGTCTGGATTTGTGGAGTTTAATGGGAAACACAGCCCTGATTGTTGCCTCCAGCTGTCCTGTCAGACTCTGTTAGCCTCGGTTACATAACGCCTCCACCTCGACCTTCAAACGGTTTTCCCCTTCTGCTGCTGCTGCTTCGAGGAATCTGTTTCCTCTAATGGGAGGCAGATGGTGCCGCTCGCGCTGGAAGGAGCAGGACAGAGGGTGAAGTGTCAGTTTGACGCCACGTTGCTCCAACAGGTGATGTCTGAGCAGAACTTCATCGGGTTTCACAGAGTCAGATCGTTACATCATCCAGGAATGACGGATCAGCAGCTGATGCTCTGAGCTTCATGAAAACATCCAGATAGACAAAACTCTGGACGACCAGCAGGACGACCAGAAGCATCATGGCCGTCAGCTACAGGACGACCAGAAGCATCATGGCCGTCAGCTACATTAGGGCTGATGCAGCCAGGATGGTTCTGCTGCTGGTCCATGGTCAGAACCGGTTAGAAACTGGTCTTAATTGGTTATAAATTGGCTATAAACTGGTCACATCTGGTTAAAGTTTGTCGTATCTTGTCACAAACTATTTAAAACTTGCTCTGGTTATAAACTGGTAAACTGGTAAAAACGTGTCATAACCAGTTATAAACTGGTTATAAACTAGTTATAAACTGGTAAACTGGTAAAAACTTGTCATAACCAATTATAAACTGGTTATAAACTGGTCTAAGTTGTTCCAAAGCTGAGGCTAAAATGTTTATTTTATCAATATATATTGACAGATAAAAGCATCGTAAATTAAAACAGTCTGTTGCCTTCATCGGTACAGTCGTTGCATACTGATGACCCCTCATTGGGGTCCAGTCGTGGCGTCGGTCCGACTCTCTGGTTCTCCAGGATCTCTTCTCCTCTGGACTTCATGCTAACTTTCTCCATGTTGCTCCAGTTACTACTTGATCTCACTGCGCCCCCTGCTGGTCTCTCTGGAACTTGGCCTCGTTCCTGAACCCTGCTCTTTATTCCGGCTCAGTTTTATTGTTTTGACCCACCAGCGGGTCAGAACCTGGCCTCAGACTGAAGCCTCTGGTTTTCTGGGGGATTTCCTTGGATCCTGCAGCTCCTCTGATTTATGTCGGTTGTTAGCAGCTCGTTCTGATTCTCCTGGTGAAACCTGGGTTGCATTTTTCCTCTCAGCTCCTCCTCATGTAGGCCTGGTGGAAAACAAGCCGTCCACTTCTCCGCTGGGCTGTCCAAGCCGGGGCCGGTGTGGGTCGGTGGGGGCCGGCATGATGGTGTTGGCCTCCACTGGCGACATCTGCTAACACTTTCCCAACCCAAGCAGCGTTCTGCAGAGCCAGAGAGCCAGAGACCCTTCCTGATGTGAGTTTTGGCTCCTCCATCCGTCTTCAGGAGAAACCAGCAGAAACGACTCTAACGTGGTTTTGTGCCAGGTGTCACAGGTCTGGACCAGAGGTGGAGCGTTCACTGTCCTCATCCTCATGGGGGAAATCACCTTCTCTGCTTTTAGTTGACCAATGTTTCAGTCCACGAGCCGATTTAGTCTCTGCAGGGCTTCATGTTGGTTCTTCAGCTCAT